ATCTGGTTAATATATATATATATATATATGTATATTTTCTACATGAAAATGATAGACGATTACAATGTTTCTATAATTTTATATTACTGTAATGTAAACTATATGTACTATATAAACTATATAAATTAAACAAACTATATAAACTATATAAACTATATAAACTACATAATCTATCTAAACTGTATAAATATAACTATACAAAATATACAAAATATATAAACTATGTAAATTATATATACTATATAAACTATATTAACAATATAGACTATATAAAATAGATTAACTAATATGCAAAAACTATAATTTTATAAACTATACAAAATATACAAAATATGTAAACTATGTAAATTATATATACTATATAAACTATATTAACACTATAAACTATATAAAATAGATTAACTAGTATACAAAAACTATAATTTTATATTATAGCGACTGCCGAGCCTGAATACGTTGAAAATCTGTTCTATGGTGCATCTATACTTTAATCGAAAATACTTGTCTCTTTTATTTTAACAATAAATGAATTCTCTTATACAATATTGATGCAGAAGATTTCCCCAGACGTTTCGATAGCTTTTATTCGTCTACTCTCGGCTAAATCTTCCAGAGACATAAGTTCCCAAAGAAACTTGCTAACAGAAAAGAATCTCCGGACACGGTAGCTTTCAACAGACGAACAGCAACATGTGCAGGGCACTTAATGACGTTGTCGAAGCCGTAGTTATATCGTCGAGTACAATAATGGTTTCCAGGTCAAACCTCGAAACTTATCACTTCCAGAGCAATCTGGCCGTTCTCCAGAGCTTGTCGCTCTTCGTTTGTGTTTATTAACGTTTCGTACCATGTTCAATGCGATTCGCGTACGATATTGTAACGCATATTGTTTATCTTCGGGAGAAATGCTAATTTAACCAGTTAGCTGTGTCTGACGAGTATACTCGTCGTGGAGAAGTGACAGTGTTTTGCGTTACGACGAGTACTCTCGTCATGGAGAAGTGGCTGTATTTTATTTTGTAACGAGTATATTCGTCGTGGAGAAGTGGCAGTATTTTATATTGTGACGAGTATATTCGTCGTGGAGAAGTAGGGCAATATTTTCTGTCACGACGAATATATACTCGTCGTGGAGAAGTGAGAGTATTTTGTGTCACGACGACTATACTCGTCGTGGAGAAGTGGCTGTATTTTATGTCGTGACGAGTATACTCGTTGCGGAGAAGTGGCAGTATTTCGTGTCACGACGAGTATACTCGTCACGAAGAATTTTCTGTCACGACGAGCATACTCGTCACGAAGAATTTTGTGTCATGACGAGTATATTCGTCGTGGAGAAGTGACAGTATTTTGTGTCGCGACGAGTATACTCGTCGTGCAGAAATGACAGTATATTGTGTCACGACGAGTATACTCGTCACGAAGAATTTTGTGCCACGACGAGTATACTCGTCACGAAGAATTTTATATCACGACGAGTATACTCGTCGCGCGTAAAAAGTAGCGAGCATTGGCTATTTAAATTGTAATTTTAGTGAAAACAGAATCGTATTCTCAAATTTCCAGACGTTTATAGTATTTTGATTCTCGCAACCCGTATGGGTGCGAGCTCTGAAAAGATGACGTCACAGGCAACTTGTTAAAAGTAAGAGCGTCGAAGAATATTATTCCGTGGACCCTAACTATGTACACCAGTTACTTAGTCAAATTGACATTCTTCACAAGACATAAACTACTTAATTACAAAACTTTTCTTGGATACTTAGAGAGGGAGGGGGGGGGGGGTAGTGATGGGACATGAAGCGAAATCATGCTCGCACTGCGAGCAAGTTCGTATCAGACTTCATGAAGCATACTCTCTGTGCATCTCGAAGAGTCGACACCTAAGAAAAAGATTCCAATCTTATTTCTAGCTCGTTTATTGCACTGTTTAAAATGTTTATTGCACTGTTACCAGAGATGAAACAATAAATCCAGCCTGTTTAAAAAAATAGTTTTTCGTCTCTACTAATGTGTACTAATTGAAAAAAGGCAAATCTCACTTTTTTTTCGTCTGCGAGTAATTAATGAAGATCCAAGTTTTTTGGAGCGGCGGAAAAGCAGAAAAAATTACACGATCCTAAATTCGCGTTAACAGAACATCATCGATCGCGTTATCCATCGGTCGAGAAAAATGATCTTAATAAAATTTCCCTTGCGATGCGAGAGTAATTTTCTCCGAATTTTACTACCACGCGATGTTTATCATAAACTAATGAAATCCGTTTCGTTTTAGAGGAACACGATGCCGCTGGATGATGATTATGAATGTTCCCGGAATGTCTTTGTTTACCGGTGGAAAAACGAGCGTGCGTTATTCTTCGACCGCTAAACCTCCAGAGAAATGAGTACGAGAAAGTTTCTCGAGCTCGGGGAACTCGTTTCGAAGGTTCCTTAAATTGGAAGCGAAGATAAGAAGAAGAAGACGGATCGATATAATTTTGGACAGTCGAAAGGTTGCGGCCGACGCTCCGTTCGTAAATCTTCGAGATACGGATCTCAGCTGTTTCAACCGATGTTAATACCGCGGAACCATTTACCTGCTCCTTTAAGAGAGAACTGTAACAACTTCCGTGCACTTTTCTGGTCGATTTGAGAAATATTTGAGATAAAAGTTTTGAGGAAAAAACCGCATAGTACAATATATGTAGCGAGTACGATATTGTGACTTAAATTAGCAGTTGGAAATTATTTTACAAATTAAAATCATGCACTCAAGTTGAATGTTTCTTAAAACGAGCTAAAATGATAAAATTGAAAATGGTTATTTTTCTCTAAACGGTATTAATAGTATAATAACCAGTATTAATATAATATATAATATAAATATAATAAATATATATATAATATGAATATAATAAATATAATATAATTAAATAATAATAGCATATTAATATATATATATATATATAATAAACTAATAAAATAATAATGTATTAAATATATATATATATGTAATAAACTAATAAAATAATAATGTATTAAATATATATATATAATAAACTAATAAAATAATAATGTATCAAATATAATAAACAGTATTATTGTAAATGAGCCGTTCTGTGGCTAAATTCATACATCTCCGAACACAATTCTAGCATTTTCTGATAGCATTTTTTTGGTAGAATTTGTTTCAAAATTGTGATCCAAGTTTTAGTACAAGACACACGAGTTACATACAAAATTTATTTCACATCTGAATAATTTTAATTTTAAAATAGCGAAGCAACATGTTGAAATTCCTTAAACGTTTTCACTATTTCGAATTCGGTTCTAAAATTGCCTGAGGTATATGAAAGAGGTCGCCGCGCGCCATTATATTAATCTCCGTAAAGCGACACTGTTTCATAAGCTGCATCTGTATAAGTACTTTGAATTTTTGCGCGATACATTAGGAGTATAATTTCTTTGTGCATTACCACCGATTTAACCAGCCGTTTTCGACGAGCATATTCGTAAAACGCGCGTAAAAATGTACTGTTTAAATTCGCAATTTTAGCGAAAGCTAAAATAATATAATCGTTATTTTTAAGACGCTTCGACTGTTTGGAGGTCAAGGCCCAATAAGACGAGCAAATGCAGAGATATAAATAATTATTTTGAAGAAAACTGTACACAGGATGTCCCATAATTATGGTAACACCTGGAAAGAAGGCTATTTCCTGATTCCTGAGGCTATTTTAAGCAACTTTTTCCTTAGCGAAAATGCAGTACGCGGCTTTGTTTACGAGTTATTAACGAAAAACACTGGCCAATGAGACGCAATATCTCGGCTGGCGCGAGGCGGAGCCTACGAGCGCACGAAGCCCAGTTCCGCTCATTGGCTCGGCCGCCTCGCGCTAGGCCTCGCCTCTCGCCTCTCATTGGTCACTGTTTTTCGTTAATAACTCGTAAACGAAACCGCGGATTGCATTTTCGCTAAGGAAAAAGTTGCTTCAAATGACCTAAGGAATAACCCTATTTCGAGTTTTAATGTAATTATAGGACACTCACAATAGCATACAAGTTAGGTAGCATACTCGTCATCGCCCTATAAATAGGTAGTATATTCGTGATCATTTCATAATTATGAGACACCTTGTGTACAGCTTTCTTTAAAATAATTATTTATATCTCTTTATTATTATCTCTCTCTTTATTGTTATTATGTTTATCTCTTTATTATTCGCTGCTCTTATTTCGTCTTATTTCGTCTCTAAACATTCGAAACGTCTTAAAATTTATCACACTCGTCGTCGCTTGCATTTCGTGACACATTTTAGGTGCGCGCACCTTTCGGTCGGGTCCCAACGGGTGGACCGGTCGAATAAAGTTGTGCCAGTTTTTCGAAGTTTGGCGAACAACGCGGCTCCCTTGAACCGAAAAGAACGCGCCGATCGATCGCGCGCGTCCCGGTTCCATGCGATTGATAAACAATCTGAAATTCTCGCGCTTTGTATTTTCGAAACGTATTCGAGACCGACGATGACTCGACCGACCGATCCCCCCTTAATTTCACGTGCGTTGCATCATATTTCAATGTCATCAAAAAACCCGGATAGCCGATTCGAAAAAGTGATCGATTTGTCACGACCTACATACACACGCACACACGCCGCCCGGCGTCGACGTAACGCGAGGAATTGCTGCGATATGCATAAAAAATGGCGAGTTGTGGACGCAGGTTGCCAGGGGTTTCGCATATTGATAGTTCCCGTTCGGAGGGAAGCTCGCGGTGGCTGCGCATGCAACGACACACACACACACACACACCGTCGTGCATTGACCATGCATTTTTGCAAGCGAGATCCCCGGCGCTACTCTCTTCGTTCGCGAGCACTCGAAGCGCATGCAATTCTCTGCAGGTTCGAACGATTTCCTTCCTCTCCGCCTTCCGAGACTTTCCGCGGCACGAGAACCGGGAACAACAACAGGAGGGAAGGATCCGTTCGACATAAATTACGAAGCCAGAGTCACCTGGGACCGCGTCCTTCTGGACTTAATCGCTGGACTGCAGATTTTTATCGCTGTTTGTTCAATTATTGGCCGCAGATATATAATTTGTGTAGCATTTTGAAATAATAACAGACTGCGATCTATTTGGCGAATGTATTATTTTTTTGGCGGCGGTTCGAGTGTGGTATAGGAAAGGGGCGACGTTTCGTCCGGGGCCCGCTAGAGGACTCATCGGTAAGGCTATCCTAGCGGGCCCTTGCCTTAGACGTAAGGGTAGGACGAAGTCTCGGTGCATATATACGAATCGAAGCGGATCGGCTACTAGCGGGAAGAGGAGCCCTCTGCTGGCAGGTTTGGAGGTAGCCGCCACATTTTGTTACTATGAAATAATAAAATTATCATTTACAGCTGTTTCCGGTCGCTTGGCTATATGTACTGTGTCGAATTGTTTGCTTAAAAATCGTTCGCCTGTGGATACAAATGGTGTGCCTGGTTCACACGAATTTATTCAATATCGTTATCGTTGTCATTTAGACAGTGCGCGAAGCTGAAAGACCGCCTAGAATGAGCCTATTTAAATGCAAATGCCTCCCGAATGAATATTAACGAATCTAGTGCATTTGTTTTTTAGAAGCAAATTTTGTGACAAAGAATCTCGTGCTCTTTGCGTTTAAACGAATTTGCGATTAAACGTCGTTATTGTTAGCAGTAAATAGTAATTATAACGAGAATTTAATTGTGTAATTTCAAAACATTGTTTACAAA